AAGAGTTCTGAGTTTTTCATATGCTCCCCGAACATGGTCAGCCTGAATGAATATTCAATTCGAATTCGTCTAGACTTTTAGCACTGAAAACTGAATTTGATTTCAGTGTAAAATATAATAGAGGCTAACGATTTCTGAGAATAGTGCAGTTCGTATGCGCTTTTAGCTCCACGCCACTTTCTTCTTTCCTTCTTTCTTTCACTTTCTCTCTATATAAAATTTTATAGAGCTGTTAGCTGGCCGTTGCCATGCCACGCCCATGGCAGCTGCAGTTGGCGGCGTAATTAACAAGTGCATCAGTTTCTCATTGTTTGCTCAGCGGTGGAAACGACGCAGTGTTAATTACTCCCCAGCGACCTGGCCTGCTCCTTAGCCAAGGTGCCCAGCAACACCGCTAGACTCCTGCTACTGCTACTGCTCCTGCTCCTCCTCCGTTTTTTCTTTTACTCACTGGGCCAGGCCCTGTCTGACATAGTGGCTCACTTAGAGAGCGAGAGAGCCGGTGTGGTGCGCTGTGTCGAACGAGGCGTGTTGACAGGGCTCCCGGGCGCGTGAAAGTTGCAAATTAAAGCGCCACCTGTGGACAAGCAAGTGGAGGGCTCGTGTGTCCCTTGTCTCTCTCTGTGTGTGTGTGTGTGTGTGTGTTTGCCCAAGAGATAATATCAAAATGGCGACCATCGCTGCTGGCAGTTATGGCTGCCGATGGGCGCTACCACGCCCAAACACTCACGCAGTCTGCCCCCCTCCGCTCACCCCCCCCAAAAAAAAGAACCAAACAAAGATGAGGTAGAGAAAACGCAAGCAACAACAAAAAAATATTTTCTTGGCCATTTAACGCTTAACAAGCATTTCACAGCAGTTACTCGTAAGTGGCATTTTAAAGCTGGCAATGGCGATCGTTTATCACAGGACATGGCCAGAGGACAACGGACAACGGGCTGCGCACAAATGTGTGTGTGTGGATGTGGAGTCGTTCGCTCCAGCGCAGGCTGTTAATTTCATTACTCCGATGGGGCGGGACGGCGGGCTGGTTCACTGCAAATGCTGCACAATCGTAAAAATACATTTAATTGCAGCTGGGAGCCGAACCATTGGCAGAGAAAGTCACGGCCACAGATAGGTCGGCGAGCGGGACGAGGGAGAGAGAGAGAGAGTGGAGGGGGCTTGGCCAACAGCTGGACCTGCGCTGGTAGCGCGGGAGACTTCACACACACACACACAGACCATTAAAAAAGCAGTGTCCATTTTAACGATCAAATTATTGCTGAGATATTATATATAGAGAGGGCAAGGCAGAGGCAGAGCCAAGGCAGAGGCTGTGGCGCCCCAAAGAAGTCAGTCGAGCTGCAGCTCCGTTGCGTCTGCCCTTGCGGCCATTTGAAGCGTTTGTCAACGCATGTTCGCGCCGATAATGCGTCGTCCCGGCGGGCAGCAGCCAGCCCATATCCGGCTCAGTCAGATGCATTAATATGGCGCCATCTGTCGTCGAGTAGTGTGCACCAGGCTCGAACGTGCTGCTCGGCGTAATGAGCAAAGCGGCTTTTAAACTTAACACGAAGACGCAGCGAAAATTTAATTTGACTGCAGATAAAATTACGCATTCGCATTCGGCTCTGAATAATGTTAATTGCATGTCTTAAATGTTTGTCCCTTGTTTACGACTACTTTAAGAGATTCCATGCAAATCTATCGTATTGGATTTCATTGCGATGTTTGCTTATCCATTTGCAATCAGATGCGCTTAAATTAGGACGCTCAAATTTTAATTCCACTGACAGCAGCTCTCAGACAAGTTAATAATTATAAATTGATACTTTGAAGCATGAATAGTTGGCATTGCTGATAAAAAGCTGAAATAGTTGGCAATTCTGATAATTCTAGCTGAATATTATTCTCAGCTGTAAGATATCTGTGCAATTTATATTTAAACGCCCTAATTTAATAACTTGAGTTAAGCATTCATTATCTCATCTCTTACAGCCCTAAGAGCTACATAAATTATATGCCCTTTTCTATGGCTGTAAATAACTTGAGGCTAATCATGACATGTACTTAAACAAGACAAAGGCTTAACAAATGGCTTTCATATTTTATTTAGATTTAAGCCACCGACCAGGCGTTACCGACTATTTAATACTCATTCG